AAAAAAAAAAAAAAGATGCTTATGGAAGGAACATTGCAGAGCTGCTTGCTCAGGGATCTAGACCACAAAAAAAGTCATGTGCCAAAGGACCAGCTGGGAGGACACTCCAAAGACAGAGGGCCAATTATAGGAATGGGCAAAGATGAAACTTTTTTTTGAGACAGTTTTACTTTTACTTTGTCACCCTCGGTACAGTGCTGTGGCATCACAGCTCACAGCAATCCCAAACTCTTAGGCTTAAGAGATTCTCTTACCTCAGCCTCCCAAGTAGCTATGACTACAGGAGCCTGCCCTAACACCTGGCTATTTTTAGAGACGAGGTCTTGCTCTGGCTGGTTTTGAACTGTGAGCTCATGCAATCTACCCACTTCAGCCTTTCAGAGTGCTGGGATTACAGCCATGAACCACAGCACCCAGCCTAAGATAAAACTTTTTCCTTCATTTTGAATTATTTCCTTTGTAATTGTCATAGTGATGCTTCACAAAAAAATCAAAGAATAGACAGTAAACCAAACCGTAAACCCAGGAACTATCTGTGACACTGCAATGGAATTTGTCTGTGTGAACAAGAGGAGGAGGAGGGACACAAGTAAACAGTTACCTCAGTCGGAGTAACCTCATTGCCAAAGTACACAGGCACCAGGTCCTCATCGCTCACAGCAAAAGCCACATGAAGGGGGACACGGGGCACAAAGGTGGCACCATGAAACAGGTCTCTGTAGAGGCCGCAGTACTCAGCCAGACGCTGCTTGTGGTAGGGGCCACAGGTCTTCTCCCACTCAGCCCGCACAGCCTCCAATGGGATGCTGGCTGGGAAGGAATGATGCCAGCTGGGATGCAGGGTGGGGCAGGGACACACCCAGGTCCCCTCCCCTGGATGGCTCACCTGTACGGAGGCGGGCAGCCTGCTCCTCTTCCACATTGGCCCGAAGCTCCCGGATAACTCTTTTCCGTTCCTGTAGCTGTTGGGTTCGGCAAACCTTGGGTGGAGGCAGCCCAATATCAATTTTGTCTTTGGGATCTGGGGAAGTTGGATGTTTCAGAAAAAGCAGGGTCAAGTCTTCTTGGTTAAGCTGCCTGTCATTGCCTAGTCTGGCTCTGGACCCTAAGCTTTCCTCAAACTAATACTGCCAAGACTGCTTCCCAGACCTGAACAGGGTTCAGTTGCTAAGTAAATCAGATACAACCTGAGGTTGCCTTTTCTGTACCCTAAACCAGGTCACAGTGTCTTGTCTAGGTCACAGCAGATTGAGGCAGATGGTCAATTGCAGTTGGCATCACCTTAAAGCTTATTCCCAGGTAGGCCATGGACACCTACTTGTCCTGGGTGGAAGAAACACCTAAAGCTAGAAGGACTTGGAGAAGTGCTTTGTGCTTCTCACCCTTTAATGGGCAGACAAATCATAGAAACCAGCTGGCAAACTGTGGAAATTCAGATTCTGATTTAGCAGATTAAGATGAAGCCTGAGACTCTACATTTCTTTCTTTTTTTGAGAAACAAAGTCTCACTCTGTTGCCTAGGATAGAGTGCTGTGGCATCATAGTTTATAGAAACCTCAAATTCTTGGGCTCAAGGATTATTCTTGCCTCAGCCTCAGTCTCCAAGTAGCTGTACCACCAGACCTGGCTAGTTTTTCTAGTTTTTTTTTTTTTTTTTTTTTTTTGCAGAGATGGGGTCTGGCTTTTGCTTGAGCTGGTCTTCAACTCTTGAACTAGGCAATCACCCACCTGGGTCTCTCAGAGTGCCAGGATTATACGTGTGTGCTACCATGCTTGGCCTTACATTTCTTCCTTTTTTGTGTGATTTTTTTTTAGACACAGAGTTTGCCCATGTTGCTCAGGCGGGCCTTGAAGTGGGTTCAAGTGATCCTCCCACCCTAGCCTCCAAGTACCCAAGACTACAAGCAGATAGATGTCCAAGACACATTTTCTTTTTTTCTTAAGAGACAGAATCTCACTTCGTCACCTTCAGTAGAGTGGCATCACAGCTCACAGCAACCACCAACTCCTGGGCTTAGGCCATTCTCTTACCTCAGCCTCCTGCCCACCACAACACCCAACTATTTTTTTGTTGCAGTTTGGCCAGGGCCAGGTTCAAAACCACCATCCTTGGTATATGGGGCTGGTGCCCTACTCATTGAGCCATAGGCGCTGTCCAAGACACTACATTTCTAACAAGTTCCTAGGCAATACCCATGCTCCTGGTCCCTGAAAGCAAGGCCCTAGAGAACTTTCTGTCCTAAAAGCTTTGTCAGTTTACATAAGACACTAATAATTAACATGAACTGATCTATCATTAAGGAATGGCATTAATCTATTTTCATGGACCATTTCCATTAATCAAATTCCAATGGACAGGGCCGCGCCTGTGGCTCAGTGAGTAGGGTGCTGGCCCCACATACTGAGGGTGGTGGGTTCAAACCTAGCACCGGCCAAACTGCAAAAAATTGCTGGGCGTTGTGGTGGGCATCTGTAGTCCCAGCTACTCGGGAGGCTGAGGCTAGAGAATTACCTAAGCCCAAGGAACTGGAGGTTGCTGTGAGCTGTGATATCACAGCACTCTACCGAGGGTTAATAAGTAAAACTATCTCAAAAAAAAGAAAAAATCCAATGGACTGTATCCTTTAATCCGTGACAAAGACACAATTATTTTATTTTACAGTTGCGGAAACTGAAGCTCAGAGACATCACCCCTTAAGAGGTGAAGCTGGGGTTTAAATCAGGCTATTCGGCTCGGCACCTATAGCTCAACCGGCTAAGGCGCCAGCCACGTACACCTAAGGTGGCGGGTTCGAATCCCCAGCCTGGACCCGCCAAACAAC